CCCAGTACAAGAAAGATACTGGCAAGCTGGAGGTAGTCCAGTGGAGGGGCACTGAGGTGGTTAGGGGGGTGGAGAATGTGGTGTTCAAGGAGAGGCTGAGGAACTGTATTGTATGGAGAAGGCTGAGGGGTCTACCTGCTGTCTTCTACCACCTTACGGGGATTACAGAGAAAATGAACCAGATGCTTTTCAGAGGTGAAAGGGCAAGAGTCAGCTGACACAAGTTGCAGCTAAGGAAATTCAATTTGTATATGAAGAAAACTGTTGACCATGAGAGTGGTTGTGTTGGAACATACTGCTTAGAGGGTTTATGGAATCTCCCATCCTTGTAGATATTTAAAACTTGGCAAGGTCCAAAGCAACCTATAGTCCAGCTTTGAAGTTAGCCCTGCTGTGAGCAGCAAGTTGAACTAGGTGACCTTCAGAGGTCCCTTCAGACCTAAGTTTTTGTTTGAGTCTCTGATAGTCCCTGAGAACAGTAACTCCCCCTCAAATAAATGATCTTGTTGAGGAAAGCTCCTACTGTCTTGTGTTTCACTGATGTAGCCTTTGTGGGGAGAGATCAGCAAAACAGCTTTCTAACGTGAATGGCACCCCTTTCTTAGGGAGGAGCTTTTCAGGGATTAGATGATAAGCAAGTTGAAAAAGCAAGTGGATGATGATGATGATGTATTTGGCATCAGTTGATGGTCATCTGGCAGGGTTAGTTGGTGATAGGTCTGCCTCCACAGTCAAGGCAATAAAACTTTTTTTTTTCATGAATGACAAATAGTAAAAATTAAGAGCAATTGGGAGCAGTACATGGAGTATGAGTAAGATTGCATTGGCAAAATGTCTTACGTTTGAGCATTCTGTTGCAAGAGGCAGTTGAGAAGTAATATGCTTTGACCCCTTTTCAGAAGCAAGGTTAAAGATGTGAGTAATACCCTGGGAACAAATGGAGTACAATATATTTCCCCCACCTTCCCAGTATGTCAGTCTTGGCAGTGCTGCTTTTTCCATCATGTCACCTAACATAAGCAACAAATCCAGCTCTGTGATACAATCTGGGTTGCTATTAGTAGATTACCACCACTCTCTTTACAATCCTTGAAAGCTACGGCCTAATTGCTTATCCTGTCTGTCTTTTTTTAATTGATCTGAATGAGCAGTCAGTGTCAGAAAACCTGGTGGAAAAATAGCAGCATTCCTCTTTCTCCTCTTTTGGCACTGTTTTTAGCGATAATACATATAAAGAAAAGAGAAACTAAGTTCATTACAAAACCTCACATTAGATACAGTTGTATCTTCTCCTGCAGCGCACCTTACTTTCATATCCCTTTCTATAATGACCTGTTTGATGGCTTCTATCGTTGATCTTCTCATTAATATCCTTGATCATCCCCCACTCAGTAATGTCTCCCTTTCTTCCCAAAAATTCAGCGTGTTTCTGGTTACAGAAAAAGAGCAAAACTTGTCAAACTAAGGATGTTTCTGCTCAGATTGAGACACACTTACCTCTTGCCTTCAAAACTGAAAATCAGGGTGTCTGACTTCTGGTTATCCTTTTTCCTGAGAACAAACACAGCAGAACATAAAATCCTTCCATAAGGTTTTTGTTAGTTCTGTAAAAGCCTACACAACCACTTAATTGTCTTTATCTCTTCTTAAACTGACATCTTGAGAATTTTAGTGCTGACAGTTAATCAGTTTATTTGTATTCTGGCGTGGGGTTTTTTTTTGGTTTGGGGGTGTTTTTTCATTTGTTTGGGTTGGGTTTTTGGTTTGGTTTTTTTTTCTTTTAAGATCAGGTTACTGATAGACACCTAATTGACATTTGAATTACTAACTTACATCTCTTAAGAATCAACTACACTCTAAAAAGGTATCCTTAGATCAGAGGAAAGTCCTGGTCAGATGACCTGGTCTGGAGATACAGAACATTATTGCTTCTAATTTTTATTTCCCCCTTTTTTTTTTTTTTTTTTTTATGTAGTTGCTTTCAGTCTCCTATCAAAATCATCTAGGTTTAGGTTGATGGGAACAGGTTAGATTATGACTATGTCTGTGGATTTGCAAGCAGAGTTCAGGGGGCAGTAGCCTGGCTGGGAGGAGGAATGGGAGAAGATGCCAGGAGCCATAGGAGTTCGTCATACTTGGCTCAGCTACAAGTCAGAAGCTTCCTTGACTGTAGGCTATACATCCACCCGGGGAAACTAGTAGAGGCTAGGTATTGATTGCACTTCCAGTTCCCAGTCTATATGTAATTTGTGTCTTTCCTCTATGGATGAGGCATTAAATGTTAAAAATGCCTTTCTTTATTGTTTTGAACACATTATATGCGTGCTTAATCTAGAAAGCAGGTTTTCTAGGTCAGCGAATTATTCTAAGAATAAGCATTAGGTTTAATTATGATCTACTTAGTCCTGTACTGTGCAGAGACTGAAGTGTCTGTAGCAACCTCTTATCTCTTGTGGTATCTGTGCCTGTGTTCTTTCATGTTATAGCAGGTCTTCTCTTCAAATTTGAGGCAGAAAGATTTAGTAGTTATTATCTACACTAGACTCAGCTCTTAAGTCTGTTTGGCTCTATGCCAAGTCTTGCGCTAAGATGTAGACCTGTGCAGGGATTTGAGCTCCTAACTTCCTCAAACTTCAACACCAGCTGTGACCATAAATGTTCCTAATGAAATTTGATTTGCGTTCTCTTAGATCCAGAAGAACTGTCAAAGTGACGGTGTTATAACTGTACTCAGCTTGGTACAACTCTTACTTAAGGTCAGCCTTTGATGTATGCTTACTTTGAAGGAAGCTATGCAATATTGCCTACATGCAGTATATACATTACATCTGTGATCAGTAAAGGCTTGGTCTGTTGATCTTACGGATATTCCTCTCATAAGGGGGGGAAAAAAGCTATTAAAATGTTTTGATCACTGATCTTCCGCTGGTCAACTAGAGACAGGACAGTTCTATTAGAGGGGGAAAACCTATAAAGAAAAGGTCTAATATTTTAAACATGACAAAAGTTGTTTTGTTTTTTTTCTCTGCTAGATCCTGAAGCCTGCTTTAATTTGGAGGCTTAGCCTTGGGGTCAAGTCATCTTTGCTCTTGCCCAGAACTGTACAACACTGCTTCCTCACTAATCCTTTCTTGTGTATTACAGAAGGAAGCCTTACTGCTCACATCAAAGGAATGTGTAGTTGGCATGTCTATAGGGTATCTGTGCTCTATTCCTTGAGCTGTTGTGAGATGCCATTGCTGGAGACCATAGCTCCACATTAGTGTAAGGAGTTCTTGCCTCTTTTGGACATAACAACAGCTATTAGTCGGTAATGAAAAGAAAAAAAAATTCCTTACTACTTTGTTTCTTAAAGGAGAGGGAGATTTATTCCCTTCCCCTCCCCCTTCTTTCTTTCTCTACCAAAATAGATAAGTGGAAGGGCTAAAATACTGGGGTTTTCCTTCCTTCACCTACTCAAGCTCTGCTTTTTTAAAAGCTCTGGTGGAATTCCTAGTTTGGCAGTCGTGATCCAGCTTTGCTTATCATTGCCATGGTCTAACAGATAGGATAGAATTATAAGCTTCCTATTTCTTAATTGATTTCCTTTCGAACTGTCTTATGTTGCAGATGAAACCACTGCTGCCAACTGTAACACTGCCTGAGCAGTAAATGAAACTACTGTATATGTCTAATGCTGTGAGGATTTGTAATCTGTACTTTTTTCCAGTAAAACTGTAAGTTGCAAGTGTTTCAGTGTGCAGCTTACCACTTAGCTGCATGAAATTCTAGTTTACACTAAGAAAATTTCCTTTCCCAGAGAAATCCTTAGAATAAGTATTATAGGGACAAAGGAAAACATTTTTGGACTATTAAAATGTACAGTCTCAGGCTTGAAAGTAAAAATGTAATTATTTGCTATGAAGCCCTTCTCAAGACTTTTCACAACAGTGACCTTGTGAATCCAGTGTGAGGTCCTGAGCACCGTCCAGACAAATAAAAGGAAATCTGCCAGTTTCAACTGCAGTTTGTTTATTTAACAACGGTGTGCCTGTGAGGAAAGTAATGGATCTATGACTCCATGTTTTCCAACAAACTCCTGTCCTGAGGGGAAGATTGATTTGCACTCTTGCCAGAAGAGTCTTTGCCCCACAAGTATGATTTTGTTAAATGCCTAGTTCAGTTTACTTGTGTACTATTTATAGTGCTTTTCTCTGTGCTGGTAATAGTGATTCCATATTCACTCCTGCAATTCTTACTTGTTACAAAAGCATAGAATTAAACAAGCAAGGATCTCTTTATTTCTAAGGCACTGTTCACTTCTGAATCATTTTGTTCTTTTAAAGAGGGGAAAAAAGCTACGAAGACTACGCAAACTGCATGAAGAGCTTGTCTAAAGACCAAATGTAAACATGCAAACTAGTCTTTTAAGCTGGTATATTCCAAGTAATTATGGTCTCTTGAATTGATGTGGTTATAGAGTAATGGAGATGATTATTCAAGAAAGGATTTAGACATAGCTGCAGGATACTTTATATAAATAAAGGTATTTAAAGCGCTTTATATACCACTGAGATATTTTAAGCCAATAAAGAAAATTGCACCTCTACTAGAAAATGTTTACTTTTGCACCAACTAGACTGCCTGTGGTAGACCAGATTAAGTCACTGCACGAAGCAGTTGTAAAGAGCATCCAGTGGAAACCTTTATAGCTCTGTCATGATGATAGCGAGGGAATAAAGATACTTACCATGAAAGTTCCTGTAGCATGAAAAAGGCTTTGAATTTTCCTTGGGATGGGAAGAAGAAATGATGCTGTGGAGAGTAGTTCAGAGGTCTAATTTCATTGAAATGAGGAATGCATTTACTTCACATCAGTATTGAAGATTATGTGAAAAAAGATAATTACTATTTTAAGGTTTGAAACTTTTCTTGTCACAGTTTAAAAAGGATATATATTTTGCTAAAAAACATGACTGATTAGAACTTGGGAAGCTAAAGTAAAACTGTGTCTGTAATAGGTACTTCAAGTGACTTCAAGTATGGACTGCTGCCGGGTACTTCAAGTGACTTCAAGTATGGACTGCTGCCGGGTACTTCAAGTGACTTCAAGTATGGACTGCTGCCGGGCACTTCAAGTGACTTCAAGTACGGACTGCTGCCAGAATCTTGGCCAAAAGACGCTTGGGAAAATGGCAAGTATATCTGATGGAGAGGAGGTTGTTTCTTTGCCTCTGATAGGGGTTCTTTATCTTCTGTGTCACTGCTGGTAATATTTGATTAATTTGTTTAGAGATTTATGAGATTAAGTGTTTACATAATCTTCTTCCATATTATTTGCCTTTCTGGATAATGTAAATAGGAGTACTTCCTTGGAGGGAGCAAAAGGAATTCAGACGTATGGAAAAGTAAAAACAGAACATGATTTATATCAGCTCTTGTATTGTGCCTGAACATGAAGATACCTGAGGTCTCTAATGATCTGATAGCTTCCTTCCTCCCCTCCCCCCCACCTTAGTAAGCTAACTACAGATAAATGGGCTTTGAAATTGAACACTTGGATGATGAAGATAGGAAGTTAAATATAATTTTAGAAGTAGATCTCGGAGCATACTTCTTGCTGTTAAAAACTCATTGCAATAAAGATTTTGAATTCATTGCAGCCATAACTAAAGCGTTCTTCAGGTCAAACTTGTGTTATATAACCTACCCTTTCACAGTTTACATGCCTTTCTTAATAGTTCAAGCAAGCTTGTAATTATTTTTCTGTCTGAAAATATACCAAAAAGCCCACCACATCTAAAATAATGAATACTAGATCCTTAAAATACATAAAGCCTTCAGTAAAAAAGAGGATCTTAAGGACGGGGTAATAGTAATGCCTCCCTCTTCTCTCTCTTTGAGCTATTACTGGGATGTGGTTTATGGTTTACTTTAAATATTTTGGTTTTTACAGTGGAAGAAATCGGGTCATCAGAAGGTGAAATTCACTAGCAGGCAAGGGATTAGAACTCAGGTCTTAGGAGGTCTGCCTGTTCTTAAACCATTAAATTCCCATGTATTTTACAGCCCTGATGTCTGCCTGTTGATGTGTAAAGACTGCAATTTAAAACCTTTTTTTGAACTTAATTTTCTTCATGTAAGCCATTACATGACATTACATTGACATGTAGCTTGCATGAGTGCTCCGATATACCATGGTAAACTTCTGAATGTTAGAAAAATTTAACTTTTATGTTATGATGGATTTTGAAGCTGGGAGGAGGCATCTTGGATATGGGCATGCAGGCCCATGCATGTTACTTTTCCTTTCTTCCCGCCATTGTGAACATTAGAAACTCTTACGCATATAATCCTTTAGCCTTAGCCAGTGCTTTTTGGATGCTTCTAGACAGATCATGTTCATAAATATCTCACCTGTAGTAAGTTGAGTCGGTATCGGATTCTCAAAATAATCCTTGTATTCCTGTGTGACCCTCTTCAGAGCTGTCACAGATTCCTGTGCTTTTCTGTTTCACAGAGTAATAGGCAGCTGTAGTAAACTTGTTTTGCACATATCCTTTGAGCAAGCTATGTTGTCCTTGGTCCAAGGATATGTAAATAGCTCTCTTCCATCATAAGGAGGAAGTGGGATATTACTGCTTTCAGAAGTTTTTTGTACTCTCTTTTTTTTTTTTTTTCCTACTGTTAGACCAAAATAGACTTTGGGCAGAGAATAGCTAAGATCTGAACCAGTAACTCCCCTTTTTAGCTGTTTCAGAATTACGGACTCTTACGGTCCTACTCTGTTTGCCAATATTCATTCTTCTTAGTTATACTTTTTTTTTATTATTTCTAGAGTCAGATCTTGGCAGGCAGTTCCTGCACATAATTCGAAATAGATTATCAGGAGGGAAGATTGTAACTGGCTAAATACCACAGAGCTAGAGGGCTTGTAATCCAGAATAAAGCATTTTCTGCTATAGGTGACCTCTAGAAAATGGAACACTGCTAACTTGTAGCTAGCTTACTCTGATTCATGAAATAAGACTTCCTTTCAAATAATTGATCTATACTTCTATAGTAAAAATTCCTGGTTACAATTAGATGTTTTTCTAGCAAGATCATACATGCAGAACCTACCAGTATTTGTGGTTTCTGCAGGCAGGCATTGTCCTGATCTGGCTGATGAAAAGTCATGTGGGTGCTTCATTGTTTTGGCACCTGTTTCTGTGCACCAGGCAGAACATAACTGAAATAGGGTTTTTTGTGTTTCATCATACTTTCTCCTGATGGCTTATTTTCTTGTAGGTGATTCCTCTGCTTTAATCATGAACAAGTTGAAGTGTCCACACTGTAATTATGTAGCCAAATACAGAAGAACACTAAAGAGACACTTGCTCATTCACACAGGCGTGAGATCTTTCAGTTGTGACATCTGTGGGAAGCTGTTTACTCGAAGAGAGCATGTAAAGAGACATTCCTTGGTAGGTAACCTCGTGTGTGTGTATGTGTATGTATGCACATGTACGAGTGGGTTTTTTTCAGATGTTTTAGTAGTTGGGAGAAACACTGTTCTGTGATTTGCCACGGTGTAAATTGTTTTATCTTAATCTAAAATGGATGAAAATAAACCCCTTGGTGATAACTATCCCTCTTACACTGCATTTTCCATTAAGAATATCAATTGTTGATGGAATTCTGATAGAGATAATTTCAAGATTATTTTGAAAGTGACATGATAAATAGATGCAGTATATATAGGTATTCTGTAGATAATGAAAGGGAATTTTGGCTTAGTGTTACTGCAATAGCATAGTACATCTTGTTCTATAATGCTGCATCACCATTTTCTGTGAGGACACCCTGTTAATCAGCAATTGCACAATATCTTGGGGTAGTTCTGAAATACTTATTTCATAACTAGACAAAGCTATAGTATAGTATCTGCTTTAAGATTTAGGAAAGAATGAAAAGTATCTGAGATGCAGAAAGTAAATGTCCTTCTCACTTGCATTCTACCAATACCATAATCAGCAGTTGAGCTTACCCTGTCCTGTGCATGTTGCATAACTCAGGATTTGACTTGAGTACTGTTTATCTGAGGATCCAGAGAAAGTATTACCTCTCTTGGGTATTTTGCAGGTACTTAGTCTGTAAGGAAATTAAGACTTCAATGTAATATCCACTGTATAATAGCCCTTTGGCCAGTTGGGGTCAGCTGTCCTGGCTGTGTCCCATCCCAACTTCTTGTGCACCTGGCAGAGCAGGGGAAGCTGAAAAGTCTTTGACTAGCCTAAGCACTACTTAGCAACAACTAAACAATCAGTGTGTTACCAACATTATTCTTATTCTAAATCCAAAACAGCACTATACCAGCTACTAGGAAGAAAATTAACTCTATCCTAGCCAAAACCAGGACAGTCATCTAGTAGGAAGAGTGGTTGTAGGAAGCTTCCAAGTTTCAATGTGGTGCAAAACAGAGCTTTTGGCGTAAGTCTTCCCAACTTCCCTTTCTAGCTTGCTCTATCATGAGATGGACTTCCTGTTAAACAGTAATATTGCTACAAGTAAATAATAACCTGAGTCATATCAGGATGTAATTCTAGAAGATATTTATAAGATCACTGTAGTAATCTTAAGCATTCCTTAAACTGCTCTACAGGTAGGAAAGGCATATGTTAATAGCTCTTATGTAAATTTTAGAACCAGCATTTTTCTTATGTTCCATTGGACTTCTCCCATCTTAGACATACATCTTTCTACCCTGCTACTGCTGCCTTTAGGTGAAGGCTTAGATGCCTGAAGGAACAGGAGTACCTACGGTGTTACTGACTCTGAAGGACACTTTGCTCTGTAGCATATGTAGATGACTGCAGTGGTGGAGGTGGTGATGGTACAGGGCAGCTCTGTGGCCGGGCAGGGGAGGTTAGGCCGTTACCACCTTACTGATGGAGAAGATGGCAATAGTGGGCGGTAGTCAGTCTACCGGAAGAGTAGAGTGGGACTTCAGGTTTCTGTCCTGCAGAATCTGACCAGGTCTCGTAGCTGAGGATTTATTTTCCCTCCAGGAAAGAAAGTGAAGTCAGACAGGATGAAAACAGCTATAGAGTGAGCTCAGCCCAGTACTGTGCTTTAACTGAAGCTTTCTCTCCCTGACGGAGCCAGAACACCTTTCCTCCCCCGCTCCATTTGACAAACACCTCAAACATGCTGCTTGTGTGCAAAATTATCATAACAAGTCTAAAGGCTGAGGGGAAAAAAACCATGTAGTATCAGCTGTACAGATTATACAGCAGGACTGAAGTAACTATTTGTATCTCGCCCTTGGTTTTTTCCCTCATCTGGGTGGTAATTTTAGTTTTATCTAAAATGGCAACTTTTTCAATGTAACCTCAAATGAGATACTTAAGCACATAGTTGTAATCTGCTGTGGGGACACCAAATAGAAGAAAGAAGTCTTCAACTTTTTTTTTTTTTTTCAAGAAGGTAAGTATTATACCTGGTTGCTGAATTTAGTTACTTGTACAAGTAACATACTCCCAAATTCAAAATTAAAAATTATGTTTAGTCAAGTTAGTCAACAGCAGACTTCTAATTTTACTCATAAGCTCTACATACAGGACAAAAAAAATCACCAAAGGGACGTGGAAAGATGCTGCTGGGTTTGGTTGTGTTGGGAGGGAGATGTTGTGGAAGAAGGATCTTACTCTTTGAATTCACACAGAATTTAATAACTCCTGCTTGTTCTTAATGTTTCTAGGAGTTAAAACTGTAAAGGCAATCTTCTAAATGAGATACGATCCTGTGTGCACCATAAGTGCTTACACTGTTCTCATTGCCTTTCGGAGTCTTGTTCTGTACAGCAAGTAGTCATAAAATGGACACTCAGCTGCTTACAGAACAGGCAGCTCCCCCGCTAACTTTTTTTTTAACAGTAAGCAGGTAGTTTGGTTGTGGGCAATAGCTCATGTAGTCAGAATGGATCTCTAGTAGTACTTTCTCTGAGCAGTGTTGGGATATCTTTTGGAAGAGTTCAAAAAGTGAATTTTTTGTATTGGTGATTACTACTATTAATAGTTTTGTAGTACTAAATGCAAATACAACCTGATATACATATTTTCAGCTGATAATATTTCTCTTCCATAGGTGCATAAAAAGGATAAAAAGTATAAATGTATGGTGTGTAAGAAGATTTTCATGCTAGCAGCCAGTGTTGGAATAAGACATGGATCACGACGTTACGGAGTTTGTGTAGACTGTGCAGATAAATCTCAACCTGGAGGGCAAGAGGGAGCAGACCAGGTGCAGGACACAGATTTCCCTAGGGATGAAGAATACGAGGAAAATGAAGTGGGAGAAGGTGACGAGGAGCTTGGTGACGATGTAGAAGAACAGAATGACCAGTCTCGATGGGATGAATCTGGGGAAGTTTGTATGCCTTTAGATGACTGACAGAGCATATGACTTCAGGGTGCCACAAATGGACACTACATGGATTGACTATTTGAATTTTTGGACTGAAGGCTTGCGAAATATGGTACAGGCTGGATGGTAGTTATGTTGCTGTGAAAAATGTAGGGTCAAAGCCTTATAGCAAAAAAGGATTATTAATTTTTTTATGATATTTGCACAGGACTGTACAGCATACAACCGTTTGGTTGAATTATACAGAGTCCTCACATCTACAGTCAGTTATCAAAAGAAAAATGTATTTTTTATTATTTATAGGATATAGCTACTTGGGTCCTATTCAGACATAGTAGTAACTGTACTTACGTTACACATTCATGTATCTGTTAACATGAATGAAGAAAATTGCAACTTGGTATGGAAATACAAAGACAGCTTTCCCAAATCCACTCGTACTTTGTCAGTGAACCAGTGAAGCTAATTTGGGCTAGTGGCTTTGTTTCCACAAGCATGTCTTTGCCATACAAACCTTACCTCTCCCGTACTCTAATAGGTGAAAGCCAATCATTTAAATATGCATCACAGATAATGCCAACACCGTATTGAAATTTGGTTTCAAAATTTTTGGCTCTATGCTGGCAGGTGGTATAGGTGATAAGCACTGGAGAAGTTAATAATGGCATTAATTTAGTGTCTGTTTCTTCACAGTTATGAATTTTCAAGAAGGTTGTTATTGATTCATCAGTTCCAAAATGATCTCGCAGAAGAAATGACCAATAATGAAAATGATAGACTGATCAGAGCATGGGTAACTCTTCTGCCACTATAGTCAAAAGGGGTAGTCATGCTAAAAAGTATCTGATGTAATAATGTTTCCTCCCTCCTCTGAGGCCCCCTTCCTCTCAAACTTTTTGACTTCCCTGGTGTATACCTCAGTCCCACAGAATAAAAATACAAGGAATGGAGAAAGTGTCATATTAAACAACTTCTTGGTTGATAATTTCTTACTCGTCGGTTTTTGGCTAGTTTATGTGATGTGAATTGGACACTAGGCTATTGTGCCCATCGTTCGTCATTAAAATGAACACAAACTATTTTTTATTCTTTTGTACTTACTGGGTTGTTGCTAGTGTTTAATATAAACCAATTACATTTAACTTGTTGACTTAATTTGCTGGAATTTTTTTTTTAAGAAAAACAAGAAGTCCAAAGCAAAATAATGCTCTTTGAGTTGTCTATTTTTCAGGATGATATGCTCCCTACACTCTTTATTTCAAATTTTCTAGGAGGCATTGAAACTTGAATTTTTGTAGCCATGTGGATTTTTTTCCTAAGCTTGTAATATTGTACCAATGATTTCAGGCCTCTTTCATAGGGAGGGGAGGGCATTACACCTTCATCTTGAACTCCTCTGTGTTGTCTAGCCTAAGGCAAATTAATTCAGGCAATCATTGGAACAATACATCTGATGTACTATTATGTCACAACGAGTAAATATGCAGAGCATTTATCATGACACATAGCTAGGCCAGTGTGACAGTACTGTATAAAAACCAATTGAGGGTCACCATATTTTTCAGCTTTGTTTAATTTTAAAATGAGTATATTTTTTCCTATTTTATATCAGGTAACTAAATTATGCTAGTTGTGTGGATAACTTTGAACTATGCTTTGACGGACAGAATCTTAATGGTGCTCCATCTGATCAAAGTTGGTATGTATTTAAAGAGACAAGCTTTACTGTTGTCCTTTACACCAGTAGAACAGTAACATAATGTTAAGACATTGTTTTTGCTGATTGAAGCTGAGATAAGTTTGAACTACAGTTATATGGGAATTAAAATGCTTCTTTTTTATCATCCACTTGTTTCATTGGTAGTTTCCACATTGTTGTAAACCTGACAGATAATTAGTTTTTTTGGGGAGGGTGTTTTTTTTTTTTTTTTTTTTTTTTTAAACTGAAGAATACATCTTATTCTCATTGTTCTAGGCTGAAATGAATAATGTGTAATTCTGGTGGGGTCCAAAGTAGAAATTAGTTGGGCAAAGATGATATGAATGAAAAAGTATTTTAAACGTTAAAGTAATGTTCTGCTTTGTGAATATGTAAGTATAGCATAAAGATTTCTCCATCCCATTTATCCCCTTTAAAACCATAGTTTACAATTGGTAGATCTGTCTATATATATAAATATATATATATATCTGAAATTCACCTAAATCCGCTTTATTAGAATACTGCTCACTTAATGCTTAGAAACTGGACCTGGCTCTACATTCTTAATGTATTTTCCTTTTTTTGTTTTGTTTTGTTTTTTTTTTCCTCAAGGTATGAACTTACTCTCTTGGAACTGAATCTTCTTTTACTACTTAAATCATTTATGTATATCTGGTAAATTATGACCAAATTTGTTGTTAGACTGCATACAGTAAATTGAAATATACACTTGGTACACTACAGAATTGTTGTGCTTTTGTTCTGGTTGTATTTGGAAAAGCAGGCTTTAATAGAAATTAGTGTTATTTATAAATATTCAGTTATTATTCACTGGCCTTAATATTCTGTTGCATTGTGACAATCATCATTTCCTTGGTAATACTTAACTGCTTGCTTTTAGAAGTTGCATGTAATTGCCCTTGGTAGGATTGGAGGGAGAGGGATGACTATTGAAATGTGATACTAGCTCTTTAGTAAATGGTATGAAATAGCTTAATGGAGAGCCAAAAGAAGTTGTTTGGATGCTATCTGCAGTCTGGATTTCCTGAGCTGTTTATTCAGAAGTAATTTTAAATGTATTACTCTAATTGGGAGCTCTAAATTAATAAAAGTAAATTTCATAGGAATTAGCTTAAAGGGGACAGCTCAAGTTTCTTCACTATCATAAAGAATAGGAAGAGAATTCGGTTCGCACTAAAAATAGTCTTCCCCTTGAGTAGTACTGGAGCTATGCTGTAGTATAACATGGTAGTGAATTTTAGTTAGTCTGGTTTAGGTTTTGGGGGCTTTTTCCTTTTTAAAAGAAGAAAGACTAATGCTCTTAAACTGTCTTCCTTATCAAATTAAAAGGTACCCAGCCTTTCATTTTGTCTTCTGATTAAATAGATCTCAAACCAAATGCCTGAGACTTGCGTATTTGGGGCAATGCCGCACAAGAGTAGTTTTATGAAAAGAATCATATGTTACAAAAACAGACAAACACAGAGTTCTGATGTTGGGAATCCCCCCTTTCTGTGAGTTTTTGTTTGCTTTCTGGTCTTGTCAAGTAGTGGCAGTTATCTTTTAGATACAGAGCACTTTCTGGTGGGGAACTGTGATGCAGGATGAAGTCAAATCAAAAAGTAAATTCACTGTGATTAGGAGTCCCTGTCAAAGTAGGTGTGATGTAAGGAAGACAGACAACGTAAACTGCATTTCTCTTGTGCCAATGTTACTGCAGTGCAATAGCAAGCATTTTTCAATTCTGATGTCAGATGCATCTTGCAGGGAAAATGACTTTTTTTAATTGTGTAGAAAATTTTCACAGTTCAGTTTGCAAACAGATCTTCCAGTAAAATAATTCTCTGAAGTGCAATCAGATTTTGAAAGCCAGAAATGATACTTGGTTGTCAAAGCAAGGATGCGCCCTAAGAAGAAAGAGTTGAAATGGCTGGTCCCCATAGTGTACACTGTTACTTTCTGAGATGCATACGCTTCTGCAAGTGCACAGATTTGGGGTATTACTACATGCTCCTCTTCCTTCTGAAAAGAGTAAGCGCTATCAGGTGAAGAAGAGTTTGGGGCCAGCACACTGGCATGTGGTAGGCTTCTAGTTGTGGGTCACAGCAGTAATGCTGTTAGCAGAAGATGCTTTCTTTGCCTAGCTTTAAGTTGATAAGGCTTTTAATAGGATTTTCTTTAATGAGGCCAATCTCTGTGGTTTGCTTGCTTTAAGTTTTGTTTCACTTGATTCCTCCTGTTCTTGCCTCTCAGTAACACAAGTCTCCCACCTGTATTAAATTATTTCTGTAGTCTGCCGACTCCACGCAGATGCGGAATTCACTGTGCAAGAACTGTACCTTGTTGGCTGTTCCTCTGTACTTTGTTGTATTTAAATGGCTTTGGAAACTTAATAAGAGGAATGAAAGCAAGATAACTGACACCACCACCATCCCGAAAAACTTGTTGTGCCAAAAGAAGAAGGAGAAAAATGTTGACTGCAATGTGATAAGAAGAAGGCTTTTGGATTTGAGTTGTTAAAATTCCTCTGGTTTGCTACTTGAACGTTTCAGACAATTCACTGTATTTCTCTCTAGCACAATTTGGTGACAACCTTCTGATGAAGAAGCTATGCAAGAAGCCCAGTTTTGAGTTTATTCAGTGTCTCCAGAATGTGGCTCGGGCTCTGCAGAGGTAGTACCACTGAGTAGTTTTCTGTAGATATTTTACCATATACCCTTCTGTTAGCATCCCTCTTCACTCTGTAATTTGTTACCCATTTTTTATTTGATAAATGTTTGCTCCTTAGAACTGAGATTTGCCTTTTATATGTCGTAATAGCACATTACTGTGTTTCACTGAACAATATGGTAAAGGTTAAATATTGACATAATGGATAAAAAGAAATAAGTTGGTTTTTATATAGTATCCTTTAACAAACCTGTAATAAAATAAATCTTTTGTAATAAAGAAAATACAGGTTTGAAATCCAGGGGCAGAGGCATTGCTGAGCTGAACCCTTTGAGATGTTGAAGATCCCACATATAATTCACTATGGGTTTTTAAAATACTTTTATGTGAAAAAAGGTAAAAATATACTAGAAGGATCCTATGAATTAAACTGGAAAATAAAATTGGCTGAACGAGTACCTTGTATTTAACACTATTGCCATTTGAAGCGAATGTTTAAAATAAGCTATACGTAATGTTTTGCTTACCTGAATTGATTTGGATGAGCCACTTCAGAATACAGACATAAGTAATTTCTCACTAACATATTGGTATGTAAACATAATTTCAAGACTTTTAACACTATGTGCACCAGTCTTTAAGTTGCCATACTGCAAATAAATTTAAAAAATGACTATTTCATTCTATCTATTTTTATCTGTGCCCTGCTTCCTCACCCTTCACAAGTAGATGCAGAGAGATTTCTTTGGATGGATAAGCATTAACAATACAATCA